GACCCATATGGGGCCTCTTCCTTTTGGTTACATTTAGAGGCACTTGAGCTGAAGAATTTGCATGGTCCTTTAAGGACAGTCATTTTCCCAGTGTTCCCAGTGATCACAAAAGAGACTATGATACTTGGGCCAGAGTTTTCCCCAGGGGAAAGGGAGGTGCCATACTCTCTACCCCACCCAGGGAAGGGTGGAGCTCAGTGGGGAGGGGAAGCTAAAGAATACCAGGAGAAGGAAAGGTAGAGCAGGAAGACTGGAGGAGGCACATGGAGCAGAGAATCCTGTGAAGAAACTGCACTTGGTTCTCAGCATTGGACGTATTTTACCAGGGATTTGGGGGATATGGAAGGAGACACTTGAAAAAGACAGATGTGGGTGAGAGACCTGTGGGGTGGTTGATAATGGCAGCCTTTATCTTGACTTGGGTTTTGATTTTACCCTTTTGCTTCCAGACTTGCCTGGCCTTTTCGCCCCTTTCCTGTGGGTCCACACCCGAAGGTACCTTAAATTTATGGCAGGCTTTCATGCCTGAGCAGTCCTGCTTTGGGCCATTTGGCTGGTCATTTACCCACAACGGGATGGGTAACTTAGGATGTTTGATTTGGAATCTGTATTCTATTTCTTCTCTCTGTTGTACACTAACTGCATTAAAGTTATTTTTTATTGAAGGCCTTACACATTAGAATGTATTTTGTCTTGATGGTACAGATGGCAGAACCCATTTTGAGTAAGCAGCTTTGGGGGTCCCAAGGTACCCCTGTTCCTTACCCTGTAACATTTTGATGGTGAGCCCTTAGAAAGGCGTAATGTGGCGGGGGCTGGTGGCCGGGGGGATGAGGAGCAGGTATTATTTTAGTCTCTGGGCTGGGAAACTTGCAGCTATAAGGTCAGCAGTTTAGCAGTTGCTTGTTTATGATTTTGCTCCAGGGTCCTTTCAAAGGACCCTTGACCTCCCATCCTATTTTCTGCCTTTTTTATCAATCCACTAATCTCAGGAGATAAGGCATTTACAAAGAGAGGAGCTAAAGGAGGTTGGGTGACCTTAGTATATGAAACCCAGAATGCTATAGGAAGAGGACTTGCAAGCCGGCTTTCATCTGTAGAGATTCACCTTCCTTTGTTGGCATGTTTAAATAATAGACCAGGGAATACAGACAGACCTTAGGAATGCCTTGTAAAAGATCAGTCTGTGAGCTTTTTCTGGTCAAGGATCTCAAAAACTATCCTCTGGGATTTGCAATTTCACTTCCTGCATCCATTTTGGATTTCACCAGTCCTCCAGATCAGCAGAATGGTGTCCTCAGCCCCTATAATGACCCTATAGTCTTAAAAAGGCTTTTTGGGACCCTCCTGGGCTCAGGACATTCTTTAATTATGATCCTTAGTTTGATCTTTGACCAAGGGAGTGAAGATGCCTGAGGAGGTTCATCTGCAACCTTGTGTAGTTTTGTTATAGGGCAGCCCCACTACAAAACGGGGTGCCTGACTGTGGGTCCTCATCCGCGCGCTTAAAAGGACTTACCAATGCTCTACTGAAGGCACATGCGAAAGGTTAATAAAAGGTTTATTTACAAGGGAAGGGCAAATGAGGAAATGTACAGCTCAGGGAGAAAAGTGGGAGACAAAGTTTTATTTTTTAAAGATTTATTTATTAAAGATTTATTTATGCATACAAGAACTGTGGTACAGAACAGACAGACGTATGTCACTTAGCACCCTGTACTGCAGTTTCATCCATGTTGTCAAAAATGGTAGGGTTTCCTTATTTTATTTATTTTTATTTTTATTTATTTTTTAAATGCGTCCTACCTGATCCGCCAATCTGGAATCCCAAATGGCACTCTGAGAGCTGGCCACAAGCCCGACCCGTGAAGCCAGGAGGTGAGAGAGCGACCCCCAAGGCCCATGTGTTTGGTTTTTTATACCAAACCTGGCTGCTTAACTCCATCCTCAGGTCCCAGCCACCTTCCCTTTGGTGGTGATGGGATTTGTCTTTCCCAGTGTCCTGATGGCTTTGGTCTGGGGTGGGGGTGGAGTCCACAAAGCCTGCATGGAATCAGCTCAGGACATCCTTTCCCCCTAACAGTTTCAGTGTAAAATATAAGTGTGTTATAGAAAGGCAGTTCAGAGACTTGGTAAACATGAACTCGGTAAAGAAGCAAAGAGGAGAGCGATAGAAGTCACATCAGCCCTACCATCTCTCATATTTAATTTTTCATTAACCATTTGTAATGAGTCTTTTAATGAAGCCATTTTAGAATCTTTAGACCTTTGGAAGCTTCTGCGTACCTATTAAAATAGGTATCCTGTTTGTTCAGTTTGGAAACCCTTTCTAGTGCACTTAGATGAATGGTCTGGTCTAATTGAAGCATTCCCCATATGGCCATTTTACTTAGATTGTTTTTGGTAAGAGTTGCCATTTTGTTAGAGATCTAACCTTCCTTTGGTGATCATGGGATTTGCAGTTCTTAGTGTCGTGGGGGTGGAGTCCACAAAGCCTATATGGAGTTTGCTCAGGACATCCTTTCCCCCTACAGTTAAGAGTATTTCTCACCTTAGGTGTGCTTATTGTAGCTCTCTCACCATCAAAGCATCCCATTAGTTCTCTGCCAAGCTCCATTGTTTCCTTGCTCCTCTCCCTGCATCTCCCCCTGTCCTCTTGAATGCCTCAGATCTACGATCAGTTTTCAGGGACTGGTTTCATAGTATGTCTTTATTTTACCCTTTGTTTGGTTTCTCTGTATTCCACATGTAACTGATATCATCCTGTATTTATTTTTCTCCTTCTGGCTTATTTCACTTAGCTTCTTCCAGCACCATCCATGTTGCCAAAGCAATTTACAGAGTCATTGTAATCCCAATGAAAACCTCAGTGGCATTCTTCAAAGAAATGGAAAAGATATTACTGAAATTCATATGCAAATACAAAAGACCGCAAATAACCGAAGCTCTCCTGACTAAAAAGGGAAAAAACAGTGTATATTATACGTTCACATTTCAAGCTATACTATCAAGCCATAATAATTAAAACAACATGGTACTGGAATAAAAGCCAACCATTGGTATAGAGTAGAGAATCCAGAGATTCCCATCTTTTGAAGCTGGTCCTTTTGTATCTTAATACCCCACCAGTAACCAATTACGTGACCTGGCCAAGGACTCCATGGAAGCTGGGAATAGGCACTGTGGAGTGACTCCAAATAAATAGGAATTGCAGCTGCCACAGCAGTTCTTAACTTGGAATCCATGGACAGAGTCAAAGGCTCGGATTTCCAATCAAATGGGGGCTTGTGGTCTGAAAGGCTAGGGGCTTAGCTCTGGGCAGAACCATCTGCCAACTCAGCTGGGTTCCAGACAAAACGGTACCAAGCTGACCTGCCCTATATTGGAAAAATACCTTGAGAACTTAAGTGCAAAGAGAGCAGAACTCAAACCAGAGAGGGAATTTATTTCATCTTCCTTTGGGGAATGGGAAGGGTTATTTTATGAGTGTTGACAAAAAATTCCAAGATGACTGGGGAGGTTATAACTGCATTTAGGTTAGGTGTTAAGCCTTGGTGGGCTTTGCACGAAAGACTCCATTTTCAGCTTGTTTCTTTTTAATATTAATCTTTTAATTGTCAGTTGTACATATTTTCACTCAATTAATGTCTTTTAAGTATGTTGACATTTTCATTTCAATTGTGAGTGGAATCACAAAATACCATGTTTTCATGGAAATACCTATAAACAAAAAGTTTGCAGTGTCAGTTTCTTAAAAAGATATGTGTCAGTTTTTAAAAAAGATTTATTTATTTATGCATACAAGAGCTGGGGTGTAGGCCAGAGGTGCGGAAGGTGAAAGGATTCACCAGAGACAGAGTGGGGAACAGAACAGGGAGATTGACCAAAGTACACTGCTGAGGGGAGCAGTGGGCAAGCCAGGAGACGTCTACTGTGCCATGTGGGTAGCTCCCTGGCCGGCTGGGGGATTGTACTCGTGCTGCAGATGCTGCGGACAGCTTCGTAGGCCCTTATGCCACCAGGGAGGCCTTGTGTCACTTTTTAAAAATTTACTTAGGCATACAAGAACTGGGGTGTAAGCCAGAGGTGCGGGGGGGGGGGGGGTCGGGGGGTGAGAGTATTCACCAGAGACAGTGGAGAGCAGAACAGGCAGATCCACTGAAATACACTGCTGAGGGGAGAAGCAGTGGAGACAGGAGAGGTCTACTGCACCACATGGGTTGGCTCCCTGGCTGGGGACTGAACTCACACTGAAGTGGCTAACAACAGCTTAACCCCTGTGCCACTGGGGAGGTCTATATTTTGTCACGGATTTTAATGAGAAATAGATTTTGAACTTTAAGGAGCTTGGGGCAGATGCTGATGATTTTTTACATTGAGTCATCCTTGTATTACCTAAGTACATTTTAAACCCATGCATGATCTTATTGTATACTTATAGAATAACACTAAGTGCATTTTGCTCATTTTTTTGCATATTTATGTCCATAGACATAAACGGGTTTGACACTAATCTGAATTTCATTTTTGTACATTATCAAATTTTGGTATGAGCTTTATACTACTTTGGTATTAGTCATCTATGAGCTTCTTCTTAGTCATACTTTTCAATACCTTTATTTTCTCTTTTTCTTGAGACTTGCTAGGGACTTATTTGATATTAACTATAAAATAAAACTCTGGTTAATTCATGAACTCACCTATTTGATTTTTAAAATACTATTCTACATTTATTATATATTGCTATTTCCCACCACTATAGACTCTCTTTAGTTTCCAGTAATCACATGATCTTCTTGTTTAAAAAATGGAGGCTTGCTGCATTTTATAAAACTACTTCTGAGCATAATGGCAAATTAAAAATTCAGTGGTATATGAAGAGGGAAAATCCCTATCATTTCTTTGTTCCCTCTTTGAATACTAAGTTATTGAAACCAAGATGTGCTTACTGGGCATTATTTTGGTGTCATCTTTTGGGGGACTGTGTTTTCTGTTTGCAGATATTGCTGTGGTGGAGATGAGTGATGCCTTCCGACAGCCATCCTTGTTTTACCACCTTGGAGTGAGAGAGAGCTTCAGCATGGCCAACAACATCATCCTCTACTGTGATACCAATTCTGACTCACTGCAGTCACTGAAGGTACATCATGTGTTTTCTAAATATTTAATTTAGGCACCCCAGTTTTAGGGATACCTCTGTCCCCCCCCCCCAAGTTAACTAGTTTACATTTGTGAAACGATGTTTTTGTCAATCTGATAATTATACAACTGCTAGTTATGTTGCAGATTTTATCTAGAATTCAGTATAGAAATGTGACTATCCACAATAGGAAAAAAATTACTGTTGAGTTGTGAGCTCTAGTTAGAGAGGCAGCCTAACTAGATGGGAAGACATCAGTACACACCTGAGCAAGAAGAGGAACTTGCATAAAGTATAGGCAGGCCTCCCCCTGGGCCACCATCAGGGGTTTCATTGGCACACCTGTCTCCAACTAGCAATATATTTCCCACTGAAAGTACTCTGAGTACAAATTGTCTCTCGCAGTATCATCAGAAATTTGCCATCTTTCACTGGGATAGGATTTCAATTAAGATAGGAGAGGGGGGAATAAAAACTTATTCTATTTGTCTATGAAATGCAGCATGTCCAAATGTCATTCTCTTTATTATGGGAACTGAATGATATGAAGGTATTCCCTCTGTCCTTCACTGTAGGGAAAAAGGTTCCCTAGTAATTTTACACTGTCTGATTCTTTGAAAAGCATCTCATGGTGAGATGCATGCTGAGCTTGGTATCATTCATTTCCTTTGTGAAGCTTCAGCTAGTTTCATGTGGCTTTTGCTCATCTATTTCTTCCAGTACCCAAATCAAAGCCAAAGGGATGTGGTGTGCTAAAGCCCAGAGCTGTATATCTAATGGCTCAGTAATTGTTATATGATCTCTAACCCGAAATCATGCAAAAAAAAAAAATCTTTTTTTGCTTTTATCTGAGCTTCTAGAGCTTATGTAACATTTTCTGAAAAACCTGCAGACTTTCATTTAGCAAATTCATTTACTGCATGCCAGGCATCAACAAAGTCATCCTTTCCCAAACACACTGAAGTAGTTCTAAAAGATTTGCCTCTAGCCTCCGCCTGTTTTTTCACTTGGAGCAATTTTCTTAATTTTACGCCTTTAACTAATAGATCATAAAGTTTCGTGATGGTGTACTTTTTTGTTGTTGTTTTGTTTTGTTTTCTATAGAGTAGCTTTTTCTTACATCTTTGTTAACTTTTTTTTTAAAGATTTATTTATTTATTTATACAAGCATTGGGTACAGTCAGAAGCATGGGAGGGTGAGAGAATTCACCAGAGCCAGAGAGGGGAGCAGAACAGGCAGACTGATGAAACACACTGCTGAGGGGAGCAGTGGGCACGGCAGGAGAGGTCTCTCCCGCCATGTGGGACCCTCGCCTGTGGCCAGGGATCGAACCAGCGCTGCAGAGGCTGTGGGCAGCTTCGTAGCCCAGCTCTCAACTACTGCGCCACCAGGGAGAGGACCTGATGGTGTACTTTTAACTAAACATTTTGATTTGCTAGGATTTATAACACATATTAACAGTTAATGAAGGATGGAGTGAGATTATTTTTTGTTCTCTTCATTTTTCTTTGGGTTAAATTTATTTTAAACTCTTATACATCTTTCACTCTGATATTTTTCTTCTGGCCCTGCTGGTCTCTGAAGATTTAATTTTTATGACTGTTCTTTCTTGGGGAATTTCTTTTAAAGAATTAAAGTTAAAATTTGAGAGAAAACTAATGAGAAATTTATATGGGACAAATAAACTCTTTTATTTAGTTGCTTCCAGCCAATCCTGGTATAAAAGTAATTAGTATTTAAATAGTGTTCTTTTAAAAGGCTAATCTCTCTAAGATATGGGCATTTAGCTTGTATAGAATAGCTGCTTACCATTGAGCACTTACTATGTGCTAAGTATTAAATGCCTTTACCCACACACATTTTTACGTTTAATTCTTAAAGTATTCCTGTTAGATAGGTATATATTCTATCACCACTTTATAGAATTGCAAACTGAAATGCAAGCAAATTCCATCCTTTGCCTAAGGTGACTGAGCTGGTAAAATCAGGACCAGGTCTGCCTGACTGTTAACCATTACACTGTATGCAATTCTTTATACTAAGACTAAGAAACTTACCAGACATTCTGCTAAGTATGTCGATTCAGAAAAACCCATCAACTATCTCCAGAGTAGTCCATGCAACATCCACTTGTTTTGCTCTTTTCCTTCTCCTCCCATTAACATAAGCTTTTGTCAGTTTTTTCCTAGTTGGATAGGTATCTGATTGCAGAGGATGGAGATCTCTGGGACAGAATGTATTTTTTCCAGTCTGAAAACATCCTCTGAACCCTCCGGTCCTCCACAGCTATAAAAAAGGGTGGGCATGTGCGTGCGTGCATATGTGTGTGTGTGTGTGTGTGAATTTTATTTCTGTGGTAGTTAGCTATAGGTATAACTGTTATCCCTGCCACCTATCAAAGGAAAGAGAAACTGCTGTGAAATAAGACATAACGAGAGATATTTATAAACAGCATATACTATAGGGATCAACCAAATAGAATAAAAATGAAGCATCTCTACTTTCACAGGGCAAAGACAGAGTGAGAATGCTATTCTTGTCATATATCTGGCTTCATTTGGTTTATTCTTTGTACATCTAGGAAGTACAGCTGCACTAGTTTTATCTTAATCTGTGGCTTGTTGAAGAGAACAAAAATTTCTCTCTGGCAGCAATTTCTCAGAAAGAAATCATAGGGAAAAAGTTTTTAACTTCAGGCTCTTGAAAAAAGAATTGATAGACACTGAAAGTACTTAACATTTATGTCTGAACTTTCATATGAAAGAGTATTTAGAATCTAATCAAATCATGTACTTCCATTAAGATTCATATTTTTTTAAAACCACAAGTGCTCTTGTAAGGATTAAATGTTTAATTAGAAAATTTTTTTAGTTTTTAAAAATTTGGTTGCTTTTATTTAATTTTTTGCAAAACTCAACAGGTTTTTAGTCCACTTTAATGAAAACTATTTTATTAAATCATCCACATCCAGAACTTTCATGCCCTTATTCTAACTGATGTAGTTTGCAATGAGCTCTCTTTCGGTAATTCAGCTCTACCAACCCTGCCAGATTCCTAGATAACAGCAACAAACAAACTTAAGCTCTTTGAAATGTGTGGTGCAGCCTATGACAAGAGCTTCTCATAGATTTTCTAAATATATTTTATTTTTTTACAATCATATTTGCATTTAAATTTTTTTTTTTTTTTTGAGATTTACTTATTTATACAAGCACTGGGTACAGTCAGAAGCGTGGGAGGGTGAGAGAATTCACTAGAGCCAGAGCGGGGAACAGAACAAAATACAGTGCTGAGGGGAGCAGGGGGTGCAGCAGAAGAGGTCTGTTGCGCCATGTGGGACCTTCGCCAGTGGCCGGGGATCGAACCCGCGCTGCAGAGGCTGTGGGCAGCGGGCAGCTTCACAGCCCAGTGCTCAACCGCTGCACCACCAGGGGAGGCCCTAAATTTTTTTGAATTGAGTTAACACTGCTTTGCAACACTGTATATGATTTAGGGGAATAGGCTCACACTTCCTCAGGTAAATGTCACCACCACATCTACCACTGAAACACCCATAGTCCTTTACCATTGTCCATTGGGCCTCATTCCCAACTTGTTCACACATTTCCTCCACCTCTAGAAGTCTCAGTTCTGTAGTCATTACTAGGGGTTGTTTTGGTTTAATTTTTTCAGTTTCTTTGCTTTGTTTCTCTGTATTCCATATATGAGTAAAATCATCTGATTTTGTCTTCCTCCTTCTGACTTACTTTACTCAGCATTATCCTCTCCAGTTCCATTCAAGCTGTCACAAGTGGCAAGAGTTCATCTCTTTTCCATTATAACTGTGTGTGTGTATAAGAGAGGGGAGAGAGAGAGAGAGAGAGAGAGAGAGAGAGAAAGATCTCCTGTGTTGTGGGACACTCAGGTAGTTATGACTTGGCTATTGTCAGTGGTGCTGCAGTGAACTTAGGGAGTGAATAGATCCCTTTGAATTAGAGTTTTTGCATTCTTTGGGTGAGTACCCAGGAGTGGAATTGTTGGGTCATATGACATTTATTTTTAATATTTTGAGAAACTTCCACACTCTTAAACTATTTTCCAAAGGGGCTGGACCCATCTACATTCACACCAACAGTGAATGAGGGTTCTTTTTCTCCACACCCTGACCAACATTGGTTGTTGCTGTTTTATTTAGTATTATTTTTTAATAAGGGCATTACCATGGGGGTGAGGTGCTATTTTATTATGGTTTTGATTTGCATTTCCCTGATAAGTGATACTGGACATTTTTTTCATGTGCCTGTTGGCCATCTGCATGTCTTCTTTGGGAAAGTATCTATTTAGTTCTTCTGCCCATTTTTTGATTGGGTTATTTGTTGTTTTGTTTTGTTTTTTCCCTTGAGATCTGTGAGTTCTTTATAGATCTTGGATATTAGCCCTTGTTCAGTGTGTGATGTGAAGATATTTTATCCTATTCAGTAGGGTGATTTTTGTTTTAATGATAGTTTCTTTGCTGTATAGAAGCTTTTTAGTTTGATGTAGTGCCAGTTGTTTATTCTTGCTCTTGTTTTCCTTGCTGTTGGAGTCAAGGCCCCAAAGGCATCCCTGAAACCAATATCATGGGGTGTTTTGCATTTTTTTTCTATTTTATGGTTTCTTGTTTTATATCCAAGACTGTCTTTAATCCATTTTGAGTTAATTTTTGTATATGGCTGGAGAGAATGGTTTAGTTTCATTTTTCTACATACGAATGTTCAGTTTTCTCAGTACCATTTGTTGAAGAGACTTTCCATTCTCCATTGTATACTCTTGATTCCTTAGTCAGAGATTAATTACCCATATAAATGTGGGTTTATCTTGAGCTCTCAATTCTGTTTCATTGGCTTTATGTCTATTCTAATGCCATACTGTTTTGATCACTTTAGCCTTGTAGTATAGTTTGTAGTCTGGTAATGTGATGGCTCTATCCCTCTTCTTTTTTCAAGATTGCTTTGGTTATTTGGGTCTGTTCTGGTTCCAT